CGTACCTGACTGCGTATGGCCACAGGAAATGGGGGGCACGGGCGTGAGTCAAGGAGGTGCGGGCAATCTCCATGACCAGGCCTATGCGACGCTCAGCAACCCCATTCTGCTGTGGGGACTCCGGAAGCGTCCAGGACTGACGAATGCCCTGTTCGCGACAGAATCCAGCGAGAATGCCGGAGCGAAACTCGCCCCCGCGGTCGGAGTGGAGATAGCGGACACGACGACCACGAGTGTCCTGGGTGGTAAGCAGCCACCTGATCAGCGTAGAAGTCACCTCAGACTTCCTCGCCAGGGGGAACACTGTGGTGTAGCGGGAGTAGTCGTCAACGACCACCAAAAAGAAACGCTCACGCTCAGGGCCAGGGCGAGGAGAGGGGCCCCAGACGTCCAAGTGCAGCGTCTCAAAAGGCTCGGTGGCCGGACGAAGGGAGGAGGAGTGAGGGGTGGCACGCAGCCTACCCTCGACGCAAGGACCGCACGGTGGTGCAAGGGACGGCGGCAGCGACGGCAAGACACGCGGGAGACCTAAGACCAGACGCTGACTAGACATAGCACGCAGACGTGGAAGAGAAGGGTGTCCCATCCGGTGGTGCCACAGAACGGTGGGGTGGGCAAGTGACCGACAGGAGCAAGACGCAGCGACTGGACTGGACGCGACAACCTGAGGGGACGGAACCACCTGGTGAGACGCAGGGAGGAGACTAGGGGGAGGGACAGGAACTGGGAGGAGTGGCTGCTGCGACGGCGGCCGCTGTGGCTGCGGCTGCGGCTGCTGCCGCTGCTGCTGCTGCGGCTGCTGCTGCTGCGGCTGCTGCTGCTGCTGCAGTCGCTGCTGAGCGCGCGGGCCAGTGTGAAGAGTGTAGAGACCGGAGCCCGGCTCAGCAGCAAAAGTGGCGAGGGGCTGGTAAGAGTCCCCGTCAACACACACCGCAGTCTCTCCAGAAGGCTCAAACCACACACCCACGTGCTGACTCACGAGGGGTCGCACGCCCACCAAGTTCCGGGAGAACGAGGGGACGTGAAACCCAGTGAGAGACCCAGAAGGAGCAGCCGGACACGGCAAGGTGGTAGTGTGACGCGCGGTGACTGGTCCCGAAGTGGGATCAGCCAGCGCCACAGAAACAGGCGCAGGAAGAGGCGTAAGTGTCGTGCTGTCACGAAAGAAGCAGTGAGAGGCTCCAGAGTCCAGCGTGAACGACAGCGAACCGTCCTCTGAGGTAGCCGCTGGACTAGAGTCTACACAAGAACCTACACTAGCAACAGGCAACTGAGCAAGGCTAGCACCTAAGCTAACAACACCAGAGTAAGCAGAGTCAGAAACACTAGAGTCAACAACAGCATACATAGCATGGGGAGTACCAATCAGATCAACTAACTGCTCAGCAGACATGCCCCACAGAGCGGAGCCGTAGCGCTGAACAAGAGGCAGCCAGTCAGGGGCAGGAGCACCAACCCCGTAGACCAAACGAACCGTGTCAGTGAGCTGAGCAAAGCACTGACCAGGGGGGTGAAACCGGCCACAAGGGTGGCCACGACGAGGGCCTGTCAGAACCTGGTAGGTGCAGGGAGTGTAAGCAGCACCACGCTGGGTCTGACGCAGCCCCGACCCTGGAGCCAGCTGCTGCCGCTGCTGCTGCTGAGGCTGCTGGGAGGAGAGGGGCTGCTGGTGCTGCAGAAGCTGCTGCTGACGCTGAGCCTGGTACCACGCCGCTGCTCCACCAACCGGGGCAGGAAGTACAGGAGGCGACTGACGAACTCGGGCGTCGCCACCACTAGCAGGCGCAGTGGAGTCACCAGTCACTGCACGAGGCGCCTCTCCAGGCCCTGAACCTCCACCGCCGCCAGGCGCAACGCCACCTCCACTACCTCCGCCTCCACCTCCACTACCACCACCAGAACCGCCTTTCTTGCCACTCCTACCGTGAGACCGCGACGCAGTCGTAACAGCAGCTGCAGTCGCGTCAGTAGCGGCAGTGGCAAGTGAGGCAGTAAAGGTGGGTAACTGCGGGACTGTGCACCCGTGGAAGAGTGGGGGGGGCACAGCACCAGAGGCAGCGGCTACCGAGCGAAGGTTGCTCTCGACGTCCTTGAGTGTAGACTCAAGGACATCGACGGTGAGCTCACTAGGGTGCTTCAGCAGAAGCGCGTCGCGAACGGAGGCAAGGCGGTCAGGGAGGCTAGTGGCGATGAAATAGATAGTAATCGCCATAGGGGGAGGAAGCAGTGCAAGCTGTGCCTCAGTGCAAGCAGCGCGGTAACTAGCGTCGAGCGAGCGGAGGTGAGCGATCAAGTCAGCAGAGCGCTCAAACGAGGCGAGATCAGGAAACAGGAACGGGAGGAAAAGACGGCCAAGAGAGACAGTAGCGGGAGTAGAGTAGCGGGCCTTAATCGCAGTGAGGTACGCAGCAGCGGTGCGAACCTGAGTGAAGTGGACCTCCTCTGACTCAGGGAGGAGGCTGCTGAGTGCGATGCAGGCCGCAGCGTCACGCGACGTCCAAGCCGTCCTGTCAGCGCGCTGACGGGCAAAGCGAGCCGTAGCAGCATCGTCAGGGGCAGGACCTAAAGCGGCAGGCTCGGGGGGCTCGGGGAGGTCACCAGTAGCGTGCGACCAGAGGGTCTCGCCCCCCTGGACTTGACTCTCTAACAGACGGCGAGCGCGAAGAAGCCAGACGGAAAAATCAATAGGTCTACCGTCAGCGTCGAAACGAAGAACTCGCGGAGTCGCCATAGCGAGAACTAACGCGAACGAGCAGGCGAGTAACAGCAGGAGGTAAGAGGCAAATTAGGGTTCAGGTGGGGGGGGGGGGACTTAGTCGCAGCGGAAGAACGGGCTAGGGCGACGGGCCAGGGCGTAGGGTCGACGGGACGGGGGAAAGGGCGGGCGCGATGCGACGGGGCAGGGCGACGCGACGGGGCAGGGCGACGCGACGGGGCAGGGCGACGGGACGGGGAAGGGCGACGCGACGGGGCAGGGCGACGCGACGGGGCAGGGCGACGGGACGGGGCAGGGCGACGGGACGGGGCAGGGCGACGTGACGGGGGGAAAGGGCGCGACGCGACGGGGGGAAAGGGCGCGACGCGACGGGGGGAAAGAGCGCGACGCGACGGGGGGAAAAGGGCGCGACTCGACTGGGGGGAAAGGGCGCGACGCGACGGGGGGAAAGGGACGCGACGAGGGGGAAAGGGCGGGCAGGACGCGACGCTAGGAGTGGCGCTAGGCGCGGCACTACGCGCGGTAACAACGGAACCGGGACGAATGAGAGCTAGGATCAGGCTCGGGAGGCTCGAACGGAGAACGGAGGAACGGGATCCCACAGGATCCTAACCTAACTGATACCATGTCAAAATGAAGAATGGATGATGCATTGATGTTGGTTGGGGTACATATAGCTAACCCTAAGTTTTGTACCCCCTAAGACAAACCTCACTATAGGCTACAACATTTGACAAGAGCGTAGGCTGCCGGTGTTACACACCAACGGTTGGATAGGAGGAGGAAGCGTGGCGGAGGGCGTAGGCTGCCGGTGTTACACACCAACGGTTGGATAGGAGGAGAAAGCCGGTGTGTCAGAGGTCCACTGGTGATCCCCGATTGATTCTAGGGAAGGGTTACAGGCACGTTGGCCTGGGGGGTTATGGGCGCACTCACCCGCTACACAAACAAGCCCTTTTATCCCAGTGGTTAGTGGCTGGGATTCTGACATGGTATCAGAGCGAAGGTCTCGGGTTCGAATCCCGGTGTGTGCACCTCGGGCATCCCAGTGCGGGGGGGTGTCAGAGGTCCACTGGTGATCCCCGATTGATCCTAGGGAAGGGTTACAGGCACGTTGGCCTGGGGGGTTATGGGCGCACTCACCCGCTACACAAACAAGCCCTTTTATCCCAGTGGTTAGTGACTGTGATTCATTTGACAGTGGTGTACATGAGGCGGATGAGAGGAGGAGTGCAGCGGAGAGGCGGCTGGAGGAGAGGAAATAGGAGGGAAGAGGGAGGAATAAGAAGTGCAGCGGAAGGAGGAGGAGAAGGGGAGGCGGCTGCCTTCAAATAACCGCCACCCCCACACCCTCTTCCCCCCCCCCCCCCAAACGCTGCACGCACTGCAGAAGCACGGGCAGCGACGAGGAGGAGGAGAAGGGAGGGGCGGGGGGGGGGGGGGGGATTTCAAGGGGGTTTCAGCACCCCCCCAGCCTCGGCTGCCAAACCCGCCACCTCCCCCCCACATCGCCCGTCGAAGCAGGGCGCAGCAAGTGGAGGGGCGGTGGAAAGCGGGCTGGCGCAGGCTGGTGGCGCGCGCGCTGCGCGCTGGCGGGCTGTGCCATGGCGTACGCGCTGGCGCACGCGCTGGCGACCGTCGCCGGAGCTGGCGCACGCGCTGGCGACCGTCGCCGGGGCTGGCGAAGGCGCTGGCGACGGTCGCCGGGGCTGGCGCACGCGCTGGCGACTGTCGCCGGGGCTGGCGCACGCGCTGGCGACTGTCGCAGGGGCTGGCGCATGCGCTGGCGACGGTCGTTGGGGCTGGCGAAGGCGCTGGCGACGGTCGCCCGCGACCTTGTGCGCCTGCACGCGGCTGCGCACAGCTTCGCACGGCTGCGTGCGCATGGCGACGGGCGGGGTAGGTCCGGGGCGAGCACGGGACGGGTACGGAGCATCCAGCGCGGGCAGCGCGACGGAAGGGCCCATAATTCTTAGAAAATAACAAGGTCTTAGGGAAGGACCAGCTCTGAAACCATGTTATGAAAGGCTCTTAGCTAGGAAACTATGTTGGGAGCCATGGCTAGGGTTTTGGAGTTAGGAGCTAGGAAATTGGCGAGATAAAGGAGATGGCCAAAGAGGGGTTGCACTAGAAAGAGTGGTACAAGATATAGGCAAGGCAAAGGGTACACCACCAGCAGTTGATATAACTAACCTAATACACTAGTAAGCTGTAGGCAGGTATAAGATATGCAATATAAATTAACAAGCCAATGCGGCGTAAAGCCACAAAAATAATAACACATTCATGCATCCATGCTTGCAGCCTCTGCTTCTTCAACAAACTCCACAATCTGTTGAGCAGCTTCTTTCTCTCTACCCAGCACCACTGTAATGTGGTCCACTCCCCGAACCTCCAACAGCTTCACGTTCGGATGCCGCCGAGCCAACCCCCTGCTTGATTCAATCGGGCACAGCTTGTCTTTGTCACCATGCACTATAGTCACAGGAACGCTCCTGTTATATAATTTACCGCTCTCTGCTACAGTACTCGCTGATTTGGTCTCGTTACAAGCGCCACTGCTTGTAGCGAGGACATTTGTGGGGCTGAGGTTGTGCAGTAGGTGCAGGGAAGGTTCCAGGAAGTTGGTGCCAGCGCAGATGGTGTTGAAAAAGCTGTGCCAGGCAGTGTGGTGTGTGCAGCGGGAGAAATCCCGCACGTAGGAGGGTGGGAGTCTGCCGTAGGGAGAGGAAGAGGAGGGAGGGGAAAGTGGCAGGAGTGAGGGGAAGCAGATGGTGCTTAAGAAACAGTGCCAGGAAGTGCGGTGTGTGCAGTGGGTGAAATCCCGCATGAAGGAGGGTGGAAGCCTGTTTGCAAGGAGAGGGAGCATGAGAGAAGGGAGTATGAGAGATGGGAGTGTGAGGGAAAGGAGCATTTGCAGTGCCACACAGTGTGTTGTGTGTGACGGGTGAAATAACGCACGAAGGACAGAGTGAGCACTAGAAACCACTCAAACCACCCAAACCACTCAAAATGTCTCACTCACTCAGGCTTCCCCAACTACAACCCCACACTCACTTGGCGCCTATTCGGGGCAGCAGGAGAGCAGCGAGGGGGTCCGAGAGCCAATGAAATTGCGTGAACAAGGCGCAGATGACTCGGCCCACGTGCTCGAACCACGCCACCATGCTGGTGCACAATAGCAGTGCAGGGGAGAAGCAGCGCGGGGCGACTTGCTGGAAAAACTCCTCCGCTGGTGTGAGGCCTGGTCGGGGAGGGATGAAGGGCTGGGGAACAGAACAGCAAGGAACGGAAGAGAAGGCGAAAGGAAAGGGAGAGATTGAGACTGAGGCAGAGCGGTATTTTGAAGAGGTCGTTGTGAGAAGCGACTCACACACCTCCCTCTCCCTCTTTCCCCACGTGCTCGAACCACGAGATGGCGCTGATGCCCAGGAGCAGTGCAGGGGAGAGGCAGCGTGGGGTGGCAACGCGGTAAAACTCCTCTGCTGGTGTTAGGCCTGGGCGGGGGGGGATGAACGGCTGGGATGGCATGGGATGAGGTGGGGAAAGAAAGGCGTAGAGAATAGAATGCTGTGGCACCAACCTTTGAGTCCTGGCAGCCTGCTACTCCAATAATGAGAGAGGTTTACGCACGGGTGAGTAGAGGCAGAGACACACCACACTGTCTCAGTTGTGAGCAGCCAGAACCGCTGCTATCAGGAACCCCATGCTGTGGCCCTAACCTGTTGCCAACCTAACCTACTACATGAATACAGCGACCTGGGGTTACTCACAGGCGAGTAGAGGCAGAGAGACAGCACCCTGTGTCGGTTGCGAGCAGCCAGAACCGCACCTATCAAGCCCCCCATGCTGTGGCCCACGATGTGGAAGGTGGAGATGCCGAGTGGGGCGAGCACCGTGCGCTCTATCCAGCTGGAGGGAAGGACGAGGATGGGGGAGGGGGGCGCGGGAAAATGTGGGCAGAATGGGCGGAATGAAGAGCGAGCAGCCAGAACTGCGCTATGAGGCAGCCCATGCTGTGGGCCACGACGTGGAAGGTGGATATGTTGAGCGGAGCCAGCACCGTGCGCTCTCTCCAAGTGGTGAGAGAGAAAGGGGAATGGGTGAAAGAGAAAAGGGGGAGCGGATGCGTATGGTAGAGAGTGCATGGTGCAGCTATCAAGCACCCCATGCTGGGGTGGGCCATGATGTGGAAGGTGGAAGTGGGGCCAGCATGTCAACAACTTTGCATTCGCTATAGTCACACCAACTATCACCTCACGTGCTCCTCAACGCTATAGTCACAGTCCCTCGGCTTGGGGCTCTTGCCCCACCCCAGCAGGTCAACCGCCACCAACTCCAGTATGGGGGGGAATACCTCTACATTCGCTATAGTCACATCCGTTCATGCCTCACAAACGTGCTCCTCAGTGCTATAGTCACAGTCTCTCGGCTTGGGGCTCTTGCCCCACCCCAGCAGGTCAACCGTTACCAAACCAGTAAGGGGAAGAGTACCTCTACACTCGCTATAATCATACCAACTCTCACCCCACGTGCTCCTCAACGCTGTAGTCACAGTCCCTTGGCTTGGGGCTCTTGCCCCACCCCAGCAGGTCAACCGCCACCATGCTTCGGTATAGGGTAACCGTGCATCATGTACAGTCACACCAATGCTATAGTCACAGTCTCACCTCTCGTGCTCCTCGATGATAGTCACAGTCCCTCGGATTGGGGCTCTTGCCCCACCCCAGCAGATCCACCACCAACACACTTCAGTATGGGGAGTACCTCTACGTTTGTTATAGTCACACCAATTTGAAACTCACCTCACATGTTCCTCAATGCTATAGTCCCACCAATTCTCACCTGACGTGCTCCTCAATGCTATAGTCACAGTCCCTGGGCTTGGGGCTCTTGCCCCACCCCAGCAGGTCCACCGCCACCACCCTCCTGCCCTCCAGGAAGCTCCTGGGGAGAAACGGCACAGCAGTGTCGGTCCAAAAGGAGGAAGCAGCGCAGAAGCCATGCAGCAGGAGTACCGTGGGTTTCTCCACGTATTCAGCATCCAAGAGAAGGGATGTGGTGCTGCTGCTGCTGCTGCTGCTGCTGGGAACTGTAGGCTTCTCTTCTCCAACCACAGCACTTCTGACCACATCCCCTCCCACCACACCCCCGCCCACCACACCCCCTCCAACCACACTCCCTCCCACCGCACTCCCTCCCACGACGGTGAAATGTAGCGCCTGCCTTTCATAAGCATCACTACACTCCTGGCAGTAACAGTCCGTCCATCTGCCTCCCACCCTGCCCGACCCAGCTTCACCAGACCCAACCGCACTAGACCCAACCATACCAAAGCGAACTCCAATACCCACTGGTGCAGCCACTGTGAGCGCTGCCGCTGCTGCTACTGATCTCACTGCTATTCCTGCTGCTCTCGGTCCGTCCTCCATCACGTGCAAATCTGCAGCAACTGCTGCATCACTTGCATCTTTCCTCTCAGCATGTGCGATGGGGTTTGTAACATCACCAAGTCCAGGTACAGCTTCAGAGCGGTTAGCAGCAACCTCATGCATGCGCGGCCTATCAGCGGTTGACACGTGGCAGGGAGAGAGGAGAGGATGGTGCTGCTGGCGGTGGTGAGGGAAGGAGAAGTGCGGATGGCGAATGGAGCCATGCGTCAAGGCGTCCGGGGGAGACCAGAGGGGATGGCAGTCCCTGCTGCTGCAACCGTCGGCAGCACCAATGCCAGCAGCACCAGCCGCTCCAGCAGCAGCAGCAGCAATGTCACGAGGAGCAATATCCACGACCTTATCTTCTCGAAAGGAACCACAACCGTTCAAAAGGCGTCTCGGGTCCTCCTCGTCCCTTTCCTCCTCCCCCACCTCCTCTTCCTTCCGTCCTCCCTGCGTACTACTCTGCTTCGCCCCAGCCCACTCCCCAACCTGCCGTTCGCCACTCCACGGCTCAACCTGCTGCACACCTAACCACTGCAGAACGCGCTTCGTCCGCCAGTCCAGGGAGAACGGCAGAGTAACTCTAACCGTTTGAAGCAACCCCAGGTTGATTGGAACCCGCCACTTGCGATAAAACAGGTCCGGGGCGATGCTGGGGGGGATCAGGTTCGGCATAGCTCCGGACGAGAAGACGCTTCCAGCAGCGTTTGCATCGGAACGATCCGAACCAGCTTCGCCGGAATTTGATCTTCCATTGCTGCTACCGCTGCTGGAACTGCTCCTCCTGCGGTTGCAGTAGCAGGGAGGAGCGTTTTCGCCAGCCAAGCGGTCAAAGAACCAAAAAACGTAGCAGAGGAGGAAATCGAGAAGGTCCAGGCAGAGGAAGAAGAGGAAGCATGCGGCTTCCCCTGCTGCTTCTGAGACTCTAAGAGCTGCTTTTCTGGCATGAATGGCTGTTTTTCTGGCTCCAGCGGCTGCTGTTGCAGGTGCTTTGCATATGAGATGGCGGCATTGGCGGTGCAAGGCGGTGCAGGCGCGCAGGTCGTCGCCATGCCGCTGATGCAGTCGCACGACGTGCTGGAGAAGGCTGCGACATACTACTGGGAGTTGCGACAGTTGCTGCATCAATCGCGCCACCTGCAGTCGCATGGCGACCTAACGCGTAGCGTGTGAGCGGTCCCGAGGTGCTGCTAAGAACTTACGCCAACAGCGGTTGCACGCCTGGCTGCTGAAACATCGCGCGAGCAACTGCTGGGCACTCATTTACTGGTGCAGCTAGTCAGAAATTGCGACTGCAAGAGGACCGCTAGCGATTTTGTCAGCAACAGCAGCCATGGCTTGAGTAATTTGAGCTGCTGAACCAGATCTGCAAGGAAGATCTGCAAAAAAAACGAGACGCAGGAGCAGCGTCGCTGGGCGTGAGAGAAGAGGCGAGCAGCTGGTTGTGTGGGACGGCGGAGAAACCCCTGCTGATCGGGGTCCACCTAACGAGAAATGCGCTGAACTTCTGCTACACGACAATTCTGCCAACACACCCGACGCGATCGCAACGGAAACCCCACGCGACATTCACCCAACGTCACTCCGAAATCAACGCCGAGACCAAAATTCACACCACAATCAACGGCGTTTCACAGACTTCCCTCCAAAATGAGCTTCAGTGAAATCTACACCAAGGGGGAGTGTTGGGAAATACAGAACTTAAATAAACATATATGCTGTGATTTTACAGTAGTCCTCCTTATAAAGCTCCTGGTCCTACAATAATCGTACAATTATTGTAGGGACATAATTATTGGAGCTTGGAGTACTGGGAGTAGAATAATTGGTACTCTTTTATTGGAGTTACCATTATTTGAGGTACAATTATTGGTGTGGATGGATGGGCTGTGGGCAAGGTAGTTCGTAGTATAAAGTTCCTGCTGTTGTCAGAAACTAACATGCAGGAATGAATGCACTAGGTAGAAATGTGTGTACAAGTACTAACCTTAATTAGGTTGTACCCTATATGAGCTACCGCACTACAGCCTACACAACACCAACATGATTACAGTTTTGACACACCCCCATAGGCAAAGTGGGGGAGAACAAGCGGTCACAAGACCAGTCAAGAAAAGCAAAGCAAGCTCAGGGTGGATCACGAAGTCACCAAACACTCTGAGCACAAGCGAATGGCCACAAGCCTGGTCCACATGCAGAGTTATATGTAAACACAACAGTAATCACTACCTAGCAAGAGTAAGCACGCAGGTATATATAGGTCACAATACAAGCAAAATCAAGCAATAAGCAAGTGAAGCAAAACAGACACAAGGCCTAAAACAGTACAGAAGCGCTGATGATCACCACACGTAAGCAAGACGAAGCTGACCACGCTGCTGCAACTCTCGAGCAAGGAAGTAACGCAGAGCGATGTGCTGTTGAAATATATTTGTTGTATACATTCATATAAATGCCTACAGTAGCCTAGTGTAGTTATCTTACTTCCTGGTTGGTGGTGTACCTCATTGCATGTTTCCCTTGCCTATTTGTACCCTTGATTCTCCTTAGTGAAGCCCTCTTTTGGCTTGCATATTCCTCTCGTCACACTCGCCTAGGTTAAACCCTAGGCTCCTAAGTTAGTATGTTTGAAATGGTACAGAGCACGTAACATCCAGGCCTGTTGTTTTTAACTACCCCATGGGCCCACCGCGTAGTTCTCGTTTCGTGGCGCCCGTCGCACCCTTAGTTGCGATTGACGTGACGGGCGCGACGGCGAGCGGTCTGCTGCTACCCGTAGCCGGCAGTTTATGGCGACGAGCTGGGCGGCTCGTGCTGCCCCGTTGCTCCTTCGCCCTGTCACCCGCCCCGCGCTACCCGCCCCGTCCCGATCTGCCCTGCCCCTCGTCCCGTTACGAGCTGCCACAGCCACGCGCAGCCGCGAGCAGCTGCGTACGGCCGCGTGCAGCCGCGCACAGCTGCGCGCAGTCGCGTATGGCCGCGCGCAGCTGCGCCGCTCCCCTGCCCCGCACCTGCTGCTCGTACGCCAGTGAAAGGGAGGGGGGAGGGTGTGGGGCTGGCGCGTTGCTCGCCTTTTCCTCCCTCTCACTGCTGCTCGCGCACCCGTGGGGGGAGGGGGAGGGTGAGGGGGTGGCGAGAGAGATTTTGCAAAGCCAGCAGCCGCCCCTCCTCTCTCTCTCACTGCCGCTCGTGCTGCTGTGGGAGGGAGGGTAAGAGAGGGTGGCGGAAGTCAGTCAGGAAATTGCAGCTGCCACCCGCTACTACCGTGGCACCTCCTGCTGCCGCCCCTGTCGCCACTTGCCCTTGTTTCTGCTGCCTGCTGCTGGGGCCTGCAGGTGCTGCCGTCGAGCCGCTGCTGTCCTGCTGCACGTTGCAGCCACAGAGCCTGCTCCTCAGGCGACCTGCCGCCCCTACACCTGCTTTTGTTTCTGCCTTGGCTGAGGGTTGGCTACAGCTGTATGTGCCACTAATGCACCGGCTGCCACTGTTATTGCCTGCTGCTGCTTCTTCCACTGCACCTGGTGTACCCCTGCAGGGTTTGTGCTGCATACGGGTTCTCACTGTAGGCATTTAGGGGGTGTGTTGAAATGTATTTGTATACATTCATATAAATGCCTACAGTAGCCTAATGTAGTTATCTTACTTCCTGGTTGGTGGTGTACCTCATTGCATGTTTCCCTTGCCTATTTGTACCCTTGATTCTCCTTAGTGAAGCCCTCTTTTGGCTTGCATATTCCTCTCGTCACTCTCGCCTAGGTTAAACCCTAGGCTCCTTAGTCAGTATGTTTAAAATGTGCTTCGTTCTGTGCTCCAATCTGTGCTCCTGACACAAGGCAATAGCAACCTTGTGATATACGTACAAAACTGGAGGAGAACGAGGCCGCTCACCCAAGTCAGTCAGCAGATAGGTGAGCCAGCGTAACTCCTGTGCAGCCTTGGCTCCCGCGTAGATATCAGCCTCACAACTGGAGCTGAGAACAGAGGACGAGCGGGTAGACCGCCAAGAAACAGAGCCGGAGCCAAGGCTGAACGTGTAACCCTGTGACGACCGCTGCATAGCCAGGTCGTCAACCCAAGAAGTGTCTGAGTGTCTAGTGAGGACAATTGGACCCCGCCCTCTAAGCACGAGCCCCATGCCCGATGTACTGCACAAGTAACGCAGTACCCTCTTCGCAGCATCCCAGTGCACCTTTCGGTATCTACCAGGAGCCACGTAGCACGCCAGAAGGCCAAAAGGGTACACAAGGTCAGGTCGAGTGCAGGTCATCAGGTACACGAGGCAGCCCACTAGCTCTGGATACGGGCCACTCGGCTCTACGGACTCGACCAAAGGTGGAGATCAGAGCGAGTGACCGGTAGCCAGAGGAGTGGACTGCGACGAGGACCAGATGAAGCCGAAGCGCTGAAGGACCTGCTACACCATGTGTGACTGAGTCAGAGTGATGGTGCGCCGTGCTCTGTCCCGGGTGATCTGCAAGCCAAGATAGCTGCACAGCTCACCCAGGTCTGTGCACGTGTGTCTCTTCTGCAGCTCCGACTTCACAAGGGCGAGTGCCTCAGTGTCAGCAGTGGCAAAGACGAAGTCGTCGACGTACACGAGGATGTAGAACGGCGGCAGCGAAGTGTCAGTGCGGAGAAACAGCAATGGGTCTGTAGACGAAGGAGCAAACCGAAGTGCCGCAAGTGATGCCCTTAGTGTGTCGTGCCACTCACGAGGCGCCTGGCGGAGACCGTAGACTGGCCGTCGGAGGCTCCACTGGGTACCTGCAGGAAACGACCCAGTGAAGCCAGGTGGACGGCGCAG